ACCACAGCCCAAAGCAATCTGGGGACAGTAAATTCCTGAGGCTGCGAGGCACCCTCGGTCTATTCACTGGCTGGGACAGGCAGTGTGGAAGCTAAACGGACCCGTTCCCAGGTTCCTCACGCTCTGACTCAACCGGAGCCTGCAGAGGCTCCAGCTTCCTGCCATCCCCTTCTGAGGGACCCCTTCAGCCTTCCTACCCCAGGGCCACAGCCCACCCAGAGGAACCCCAGGAAGCCCACCAAAGCCACCAGAATCAGCCTCTCTCTGAGGAGAAACACAGTGGGGCTTTAGGCAACTACGAGAAGAAAATCAATTTCTCTGGGCTTCCTGGCAGAGATGTTCCACTTTTTGGCTCTCAGAGGGGAATGTTATCGAAACCGGGTTTTAAAATTGCCCTCAGTCTAAACACATTTGGGAAGGGAGGCACAGACCTGTCTGAGGACTTGTTCTGGCTCTCGCGCTGGTGGGCTGTGTGATGTGGACGGGACAGTCTCTCCCCCAGGCCTCCATTTCCTGATTGGTCCAGTGGGTCAGCATCAGGCTGGGAAGGGGTCTGAGCAGACTGGATTCACAGCCTGAGAGTAAACTTGAGTGGAGGTGGAGGGGAGACCGTCTTAGGGCTCAGCCCACTGGGCCAGCGGTGTCCACCCTTCATGGAGCCTTGGCCGGTGGGGGGGGCGGGGCTGTGAGGTCAGGGTCCAAGGCCAGCTGCCTGGGGGCCGTGCTGCCAGTCTGGCCTGGTTGGGATCCAAGTCAGATGGGCCTCCCCTCCCTCCTCCTGCCAGCAAAAGAGACTGGTGAAGCCGGGTCAGTCAGAAGAGCCTCGCCCACAGGCTCTCAAATGGATGGATGGATCAAGCTCCAGAATGCATTGCGGGTTCTCAAGCACTTTAAAACCTGACTCCCGGCCAAGCATCATGAAAGCCTCGTGTCCCTGGACTCTCCACAGAGATCTCCAGAACCACCTGCTGGGAGCCACGTGCTGTCCAGGGAAGAGCCTGCCCCCAAGAGAAAGCGAAGGCTGCTTTAGGCCATCTCTGAGCTGACACCTACCCAGGGGCAGATACGCCCCTTCCCCCAGCCCAGGCGCTCAGCCTGAGAGCCAACTTGGTGCGGCTTCTTCAGCTGGAATCTTGCTGTGACATGTGCAGAGGAAGCGGGAGCTGGAGCAAATGGCCAATTTCTGGTGCTGTCAATACAGACAACGGGAGTCTAACGGAGTGTGAAACTCGGATCTGACGGACACCTGGCCAAAGGAGGCCATAGGAGATTTACTGAAAATGCCTTCGTGTTGCCCACCCGCACCAAGCCAGAAACGCTGCACAGCTGAGACAGCCTGGCTGGGGTCTCCATGGGAGTCCGCCCAACCCATGCATGAGGCCCCCGTCCCACCACAATTCATCTCTGCTTCCTCCAGTGGGGACTGGACTAGACCATCGCGTGGGTCACTTTCCACCTCTGATCAGGCCCTGCCAGTCACACCTGCCTGCCCGCCGTCCCAGGAGTGGAAAGGCAGCATCTGGAGGCACAGGCTCAGAGTCCCTCTGGCTGGTGACATACTCCAGCCCAGGTGGCTTCATCATCTCACTCCCGTTCATGTTAAGGATGCTCGTCTTCCAAGGGCAGCCAGTGCTTGGGAAACTTAAAAGCAACCAGGCTGAGGTCAGCTGCTCTCTCCTCCCCAACCCCCAGAGGGTGAGAATAACTGGACGCCTAAGCCTCACCCTCTGCTGATGAACACGGGTCCCAAACAGAGAGACCCAGACACACATACACCTCCCCTGACGGCACGCCAGGGTGACCAGGGCCCCTTGGGGGAGTGTAATTTTGGGGGCTGAAAAGCAGCAACTTTGGGCCGAGGTGTGCTTTATTTCCCCAGCACATCTGGGGAAATACCCGGCCAAGTGTTTTAGCCAGCACCAGCCTGCCCAGCAACCAATCATGGCAGGCAAGAAGTGTGTTCATTTTCCTCTGGAGGAAAGACGCCCAGAGTGGGCCAACATGGCACATGAGGGGTGGGCAACGAGGATGGACACACTCCCTTTCCCGGTCCAAGGCACAAAGGCTCCCTAAGCATCTGAGCATTTCTTGCCAGAGCATGACTCTCTGCTTTCCCAAATGCCACATGGACCAGATGCATCAGTGAGCCAGGACTCTGCCTCCCTACCCCACCTCTCTCCAGCCACCTGCCCCTACCACCTCTGCCCTGGGATTGCTCTGTTTTCATGCTCTCACTGACATATTTGTGTTTCTTTCCTTTTTTACTAGTACCTAATTTAGGCCTCTTCAACTACGTGGTGAAAATGTGCAGGGGGGTTATTTTCTTTTTCTTTTGTGCTACTGTTTCTTTCCACCACCACCCAGTCCTGCAAAATCTGGCATGGCAGGAGGGATGGGGGTAGTGGTGGGGGGGGGGGGATGGTGCGGGAAGGGAGAAGCCTGGATAAGAAAGAGGAGAACCAAGGTCTCGGTGGGGAATGATCATGAAAGGGCAACGTCAGTAAAACCCACAGCCCCGATTCTACCTATAAAATCTTTGCAATCCCTTAGACAAAGCAGAATCGAGACTTTTTTTTCCAGGTTCCCAACTACTGCCAAACATCTTCCCCAAAGAAGCAGGGGAGAGTGAAGGGGAGAGATGAGAGAGTCCTTGCAGCCAGTGGTTTTCCAAGCATGAGGCTCCCTTTTCAACTCCCTGTGGTTGTGCAGGGGCTAGAAGCTGGGGGAGCCAGCCTGGGAGAACCCGGGGGAAGGAAAGCATCTTGTCGGGCAGCTCCTGGTTACTGGCAGTTCTCCCTCTTGTCCTGGAGCAACACATAAGGTTCGCTTTAGTTCGTTATGCGAGGGGTGTGTGTGTGTGTGTGTGTGTGTGTGTGTGTGTGCACGTCTTTGTTCTCATCATCCATATTAATAACACTGATAGGAACGATAGGGATGCAGAGAGGCAAGCAAATGGGGTTCAGTGAGTGTGAATATAACCTGGAGACTTGAGGGGTCATGTTGCTGAGGGAGAAGAGAGGTCTTGGGGGCTCACTCCCCCCCCCATTTCCTACAGCGACCACTTACCCCTTCATTTCCCCACCACAGCAGTCTTTTTTGCCAGACTGGGTTGGTGCCACCCTGAATGGCCACTCTGCTCTCTGCCTGGGCTAGAGGTCAGGATTAGTCATTATATCTCCTGTCAAAGAGGGTTCTGGCTGCCCGCCAGTCCCGGTCCCTGCCTTCCTCTGGCCTGCCTGGGAAATGTCACCATCAGCACAAATACTTCCTTCTCTTGGCGGGGCCAAAGAGGGGGAAAGCCTGCAATGACCCTCTTTCAAAACACTGGAGCGAAGACAGGGAGGGGGCTGGGAACACAGGCCGTGAGCAGGGGCGTCCCTGCGCCCTCTGACCCCCGTCCTGCCCCCTCAGCCATCTGAGGGGACACGACCGGGGCTCACTCAGAGCCCAGAGCGCCTCCTCCGGGAGCCCGGCCCCTTCCGAAGCTTTCCGCTCACACAGGGAGCCCCTGTTCCTTCTGGGCAGGCCCAGACCCTTCCAGTCCCAGTTCCCTGCAGGCGCTTCCTTGGGCCTCTCTTCCCAGCAGCCGGGGGAAGGTGCCATGCAGCCAAGGCTTCCCGGGAGCAGCTGCGGAGGGGCTCAAAGGGCGTCCCTGCTCTCACAGCCAGGGCACCCGGGCAGGCAGCACCCAAGGACATCTTCCTCTCCCTCTGGCCTCCCTCTCAGAACAATTACCTCAGCTGTCCCACCTCCTTAGAAAGGGACCCAGCTCCCCAGGGTCAAAGCCCCGCTCTAGCTGCCTCAAAGGCCCTGAACTAACCCATCTGTTCTGCTGTTTCTCCCCCCCAACCCCCACCCAGGGCTGGTGGCTGCAGAGAATCATAACCAGACCTCCAAGCCCTGGAATGTTCAGGAACTCAACCCACTGACAGCTGCAGAGCCCACCTCTGACCACTGACCAGTTAGACCCAAGGAAACCAGCAGGGCCGTGGGCCCAGGTGGGGAGGCTTGTAGGCCTGAGGCAAATGAAAGTGTCTGTGCTTCCCACGCACTTCCCCATTCCTCACGTGACATCCAGAGGAATCCAATCGCATCCTTTGGGGGGGGTAAGATCGCAAAAAGGGGAGCACACAACAGGGGTAGGAGGAACCCCATCCACTTTGCCGGGCGGTGGGGAGGACCGGCCAGGTGCCCCCTCTCTTGGTGTCCCAGATGCTGGCATCCTGGACTCGGGGACTGGATGGGGAGGGCCTCCCAGGCCTGACCCCTCTGGAAGCAGCGCCTAGAAATCCTCTGTTCCCAAGGTTGCAGGCGGTGATCTAGCCCGTCCTTTGCTGCCACCTCTTTCCCCACCAAGCCCCATCCTTCCATCCAGACCAGGAGGATCTCAACAGCTTATCTCACTAAGTTCGAAGGACACTTTTTCTGTGGGGTTGGGAAAATCCACATCGACCAGAAGACCCTCTGTACCTCCCACCTCCAGCTGGGTGAGGGGCACCACTCCTGCCTGCTTTGCCCTCTGAAGCCCCCCAACCAACGGGGAGCCAGAGGCCAGGGGGCCTTGAAAAAGGAAGAGCTGTCCTGGTGTCCAGAACTGACAAAGGCTGGGCCTTTGGGGGAAAAAAAGAAAAGCATGTTGCCAGGATCTCAGGCCTGAGGAAAGAAAAGGGTGAGGAGGGGGGTGGGGTTATAATAACTCTTCCTTTCCATGCCCTCTAGTTATTTAGGTGCAGGACTTCTTCGTGAGTGGAAACCAGGTCTCTGGCCTCCTCCCCAGGTCCCCCTCCTTTTACTTCTCTTCATTTCGCTTTGCCTTACTTGAAAGATTTTTGACCCTCCCCACTCCTCCCTCAGGGCCGCCCCTTCCTCCCCCCCCCCACCCCAGCTCCAGGGATGGGAACGTACCACAGGTGACAGCGGTGCCCAGCTCTGAAAAGGAGGCAGGCGTGGTGGTCAGGGCATCCTCACTGGGAGTGTGAGCGCGGCTCTGGCCCCCCCCCCCCCCCCCCCCCCCGGGAGCCATGTCTCCCTTGGGTTGGGCACGGGCACGCCCTAAGGAGGGGCCCACGGTGAGCAGCAGGGGAGAGGCTGGGGGGTTGAGGAGCGAGAGAGGAAGGGAGGCTGCCGTCCCAGCACCTGCATTCAGTCTGAGAACCACCTGAGGGGCAGGGAAGGTGGGTGGTCCTCAGCGCTCCCCACCAACCCCCTACACACGACTCAAAGAGAATACTAGGGGGCCCTCTTCTCTGAGTCTGGAAGCCTAAGTGTGCCCATAATCTTTCTTCAAGAGCGTAGATCTCTCTCCTAAACTTGCCCCCATAGGAAAAGTAATAATAATCCTCTAATTTTTCTTCCTTAAAATATCTGAACTTTTAAAGGAAAGGGCCAAAAGGAATCATGCTGTGTTCAAAGCACAAAGACTAAATAAGATGCACCATGAGTGTAACTCTCCAGGGTATCATGCAACCATCACTGTGAAACCCAAACCCTCCCCCAACCTTAAAACCTGTTATCTTCCCCAGCTCTGAAGGAATCTGGCCTCCCTCCCTCCCCCACCCCCGCGGGCTGGCTACGTGGTCCCAGACGGCCTGCGCTGAGTCTGGGGAAGCAGCTGCTCTCCTAGGCCTGCCTGGCTCCCTACCTGACCCTGGGGCAATGACAGGAGCAGGGGCTCATTGGGACCTGCTGGCTCCTGCCTTAGGGGCTCTGAGCCCGTGGGGGGTTTGGAAGGAAAGCCGCAGGAAGGTAAATCTCCTGGCAGGGGCCTTGTCTCTAATTCCTCACGCCAGTGCCTCCAACTGGATTTGCTACAGGCCCGAAAAGCAGTTTCAAAAATACCCACAGGAAACAGAGGGTTTCAACTTCCGGTTGGGATCCCGCAGCCTCACCTCCTCTCTGGTCGGCGGGAGCCACAACATCGGGGTGAAGCAGAAGAAAGGCACCCTGGCTGTTCCCAGGGTTTGAGCTGTGAGGCAACAGCACCATTATCTCCACGTGGTGGCCTCTGGACCCAGTGACCAGAGCTACCAAGGTGTGGGTCCCTCCCCACGCCAGGGCCCATGCCCGGACCTTCAGCAGCATTACCTCTTGTCCCCGCAAAATCCCTGCCGGAGAAGCCATATCTCCCTGCCTCACAGATGTGGGAAATGAGGCTCAGAGAGGTTAAGTCATTTGCCTGAGGTCAACCAGCTAGAAACTAACAGAGCTGGGCTTTAAACCAAAGTTTTTAAGTGACTGTTACACTGAGCTGAATTACAGCCCTCTCCAGAAGTTAGCACCCCATTCTAGGCTGTGTTGACCTTACAGAAGGGAGCATCTTCATTCTGAAATCCCCAGCCCCAGGATAGATCTCTCACCTTCCACCACAGATCCATGCTCAGTCACAGTTTTCTTGTCACAGCTTGACCTAGTGGCCCTGACCACAGGCAGCCTCTTCCTTAAAATATAAACCCCCTTTGGTCAAAATGGAGATTCCAAGAAGGCGTCTAACCTTGGCTAACTCACACAAGAAAGGGGGTGTAGAAATCATTTGGGGTCCCTACTTGACAAGCCCAGCTCTCCAGTGATGATTTATATGACATTATGCTTTTTAAGACTCCTGATGTCACTGTGGGACAGGCAGGACAAGTATTTTCTCCATTTCACAGCTGGGCAAACTGAGGTTCAGAGATGTTAAGTGATTTGCCCAAGGTCACACAGCTACTCAATGGCAGGGGCAAAACGAAAACCCTGACCATCCATGTGCACCCTGTGATTCTAGTTCATTCTCTGGGGCTCAAAGAAAGAGCAATTGTTGACCAACACTTTCCTTTTCTCAATACAGAAGGTGATAAATGTGACCATGACTTCTGTTTGCTTGCAGTATCCTGCAAGTGCCATCTCACAAGCTGGATTTGCTGTCCCCATTTTCCAGACGGGGAAACTGAGGTCTCCAAAGAAGAAGGGGTTGGGCCCATCCTTCAGGGAGTGAAACTGGGAAGGGAACTATGGGCCTTCCTGATGTCTGGTCCAGACTCCTGGCCACCCTCATCTCTGTGGAAGGTTACAGCACCGTCCTTGGTCTGCGAGACCCAATCCTACCCTCTCAGCTTCTGTGGCGGCAAGTGTGGCTGGAGAGAGAACAGAGCCACCCCATCATTTGCGTTGAGGTGGGGAACAGATTTGCACACACTCCAAACAGGGTCTGTCACTTGTAGGGTCACTATTTTGGTTTCAGATTTGCTTTTTTTTAACTTTTAAGCCATTTGTGGCTTTTGAGAACATTTTGATGACTTTTTTCCTAAAATTAAATCAAGGTGATTTTTCAGAACCAATAACCAGCCTTTGAGGATGCTCACTTTGGGTTTTGTGGGAGGACAGAGAGCCGGAGTGGTCAGGAGAGGAAATCTGGCCCTCTGATATGACCCGCCCGGGGTAAATGGACGATGCGACCACGTAGCAACTTCCCAGACCCTCCCTGGGCCTCCGGAATCCAAAACGGGTTCACCAACCAGCAGGGGGAAGGAAATATCTCATGAGGAAGATGAAAATCTCATCTGGTCAGGCCCTTTAAACGAGGTCATTATGTATGCATGGAACCCCCTCCAAGGCCACAGGCTCCTGCAGGAGACTGACTCCCGTCGCTGGCCACAGGTCACCCCGTAGAGGACCTGGGGGAGACCAGCACAGCTCGGCTGTGCGCCAGGCTGCCCCGGGTCTGCCGGCCAAGAGCAATTAGCCAGGAAGAAGGGCTCTTGCCAAGTCTCGGCGAGAAGGCCGCAGCCCGGCAGAGGTAGCCCAAGCGGCCAGAGCCTCTGGGGCTCCAGGGGCTTCTTCAGGAGCTGAAGGACTAAAAATAACTTGGGCCTTTGTTGTAAGCAGCCAGACCACAGAGATGGAGCTGATGTCAAGGAAGCTGAGCGTGCGCCAGGGTCCTGCTCACTGAGACCTGTCCTTTAGGCAAATGATTTTTCCAGAAATGTGTCAGTTTTTATGTGTTGCTGCTGTTGCCACTGCTGCGGCAAGTCAAAGGCAGCCCGGTCCGCTCCAGCCCACAGGGCTGACTTCCAACACAGACTTCTGGGAACTGAGCCTCCCCACCTCTGGCTTCTCAAAAGGAGAGTCCAGCATGTACTGGGGAGCTTAGGAGATAAGAGCAGCCCTCGAGCTGAAGCTTCTGCGTGATTGTCGCCCTGGTCGTAAATAATCACATCACCCCAATTATTTGTTTAGGGAACAATCATTTCTCCCCCATCCTGAAATTTCCAGAGTCAGGTCTCAGTAGACAATGGCAAACATACACTATGTGGAAGGAAGGAATTACTTGGGAAAAGGAATTCGTGGTGTCACATCAATACTGAAGGGTTTCTCAGAGCTGCAGTCCTTGGGACCAACATTCAGATTCTTGACCTGGCAGCCTTCACTCACCTTCCTGGTTCTTGAGTCCCACAGGGAAAGCTCCAGACCCAGGCTGAGTGGAAGGCAGGGTCTTGGTCTCTTCCTCTGCCACAGGCTGTGGCCTGTCTCTCCTCAAGGATGCCCCAGCTCTGAAGGTCCGGTGCCTTGCCAGGCCGTTCCTGATGGACAGCAAATACTGACTGGCTATGGCGGGGCCTCAGAATTATCTTCACAACATTTCCGTCCACCCCTCAGGGCCTCCCCCTCCCTCCCCAGCCCCATCAAGAGATCGCCCTGGCTGTGGATGCCACTGGATATCTGCTGGGGAAGCAGCTCTTCCTCTTCACAGGGACCAAGGAACAAGGAGGGATTTCAGGGCTCCATCGTCTAGACAGCCTCTAGGTTCCGAGTCTAGGAGTTTCCAGCGGGACTTGTAATAAATAAAACCTTCTCCACAGCTCTTTGCTCCTCTGCTGGGTTCAGGATGAAGAGGCGAAGCTGGGGGCAGGGAGGCTGTGCGAAGATTTCTTGGAACACAATAGATAGGAAACACCAAACCACGCATGAGTGACTGATGGGTGGTCACAAAATGGGACCAGTGGCTCCTTAAATGGGAACCAGTGAGAGGGCCGCAGTGCTAAGGTAAATGTGAGGGGGGTCCACAGGGCTGTGGCTGGGGTCCTTCTTCAAAAGTTTACGATCTTTCTGGCAGAAACAGGAGGGGCTGGCTGAAGAACGGAAACCTGTGTGTAGGAGTTCAGCAGATGTCTCGCCCCCTCGGTTCCACGTGTCCACGCCCTGTGTGGTTACTGATGTTCCTTGCAGTTGGTCTGTCTGGAAATACGGGAGTAGGGGCTCGATCTGATTTGAACTGGGCTCTGCTTCAGCCTCTCCGGCGGCAAGCCCCATTCTGTGACCTGGGGCCCTAGGCCTGGCAGCCGAAGGCTGAGGCTTTTTCTTTGAGCAGTTCCCAGCATAAGTGGCAGCTCCAGCTCCCTACAAGAAATGAGATGGCATTACTAGCAGCCCCTCCCCCGACCCTCAAGCCCCACCCCTCGACCCTAACCTTTTTGTAAGCCCTGTTTTAGTTTGACTTTCACGATTCAGAGACCGAGTCCCAGTTCTGAAAATGTGCTGGAGTCTGTCGCTCAGCTGCTGGGTGGGTTGGGGGGGGGGGACATAAAGTGCTCAGAGATGATTGGTTGAACTGCAGTGAAGACCCTCCCTCCTTGGCTGTGCCTCTTAACCAGGAATCACCGGGTCTGGACCACTTCCTCTAGAAGCTCACACCTCCCCCACCCTCTCAGCCATATGTCTGGGAAACATCTCCTTGGCCCTCAAGTTGAAATTTCAGCTGGTTGAGCTGTGCCTCAGTTTCATCATCTGTAAAATGGGAGTGGTCACACCTGCTCCGTAGGGTTGTGACGATTAAATGAGACAAGACACGTAAAGCCCTTAGCACAAGGCCTGCACATTAGTGAGGGCTCAGTAAGTGGTAGAAGTAGCTGTTGTTGTTATTGTTGACTTCATCACCATTACCTTCTGGGGGCTCAGCCACTGGGGGATTTAAACAGTACATGTGGTAGCCGCGGTCACAGTCATCGCAGAAGAGGAGCTGGTCCTGGTGGAATGCAGAGTAGGAGGAGAGGAGGAAAGTTTGAATTATTTAGAACCAACATCTGGCCCCCACCTACTCCGCCTGCCTTATTTCCATTGATCAACTTCCCTGGATGCCCCTTTCCAGACCCCATTTAGTGTCCTCACTGTCCCTTGAACATGCCTTGTGCTTTGCCCACACCTGGAATTTCCCCCTCCGTCTCCCAAACTATGCGCATCCTACTCCCACTTAAGAGTTCCGCTCAGATCATAGCTCCTCCAAGAAGCCTTCCTAGACCACCACCTCACACCCAAGCTTAAAGGGATTCTTTATCCTTCTGAACTCACATAGCCAATAATTCTGCCTCCATAAGGGTGGAAAACTAATTTCATGCATTTCTGTGTTCTCCAGGATGATTGCCTAGTGCCTAGAAAGTGCTTTCAATGTTTGCAAATTTTAATTGAATTCCTCTCAACCTCACTCTTTCCATTTGTGCAATGGGCAGCAACCATACTTGCTGGTAACATCCATAACACCTCAGAACTTTTTCAGGGTTTCGTTATGCAAGTTTAGAGAAATGCAATGCCACATTTCAGCTCTCAAAAGCCTCTTGGGGGGCTGGAGGCTGGAGCCAGATGAGAACAGTCACCTCCAGTGCTGTGGTTAACTTCCAAGGACACGGTAGGCACCTTTGCTCCTGCAGTTCCCTCTGCCTGGAGACTCTCCCAGTGCCTGACCCCTTCTGTTTTGGACCATTCCCTACCCACCCTTCAAGTCTTCAAACACTTCTCTTCCACAAAGACTTCACTAATCTTCATCAAATGGAATTTCTCTGACCCCTCTTGCATCCTCATAGTACTTTCTCTTCCTTAGGACATTTGATTGCACTTTTCTTTATGCTACAAAGCCTGGCATGTGGTAGACGTGTACACCCAGTCCATTTGGAACATGCCTCTTTTGTCCACTCCTTTATAGATTGCAAGGCCCTTGGGGAAGAACCTTGTCTTACTCATCTCCGCATCTCCTTCAGAACTTCCTTGCACATAGTAGCTACTCAGTAAGTGTTTGTGATCTGGTCCCCATTCTCCAGGTTCAGCCCTGTTCTATTCAGTGACCTTTGGGCCTGCTTTGATGGCTTATAAGACGTCTGCAAAGTTAAGTCCTGTATCAAATCTCACCTTGGCTCTCACCACTGTAGAGATCCTAGAAGAAGTAGATATAGAAGTTGAAAACCCCTGTGAGCAAGCCAATGGGGCAGGAGAGATCATGAATTATCTTTTTTTTTATATCACGCTAAGACCTTTCAATAGGACAATGGCAAGCTTTCGAAGAGTTAGCAATAGAGGAATAACATGGCCAGACTTGCAGTATAGAAAGATCTCACTATAGCTGCTATCCAGGTGAGAGAGATTAGTTCTTGAGGCTGGAAGGCCACTTAGGAGGCTACTATAGTTGTCCAGGTAAGAGATAACTTATGATGGTATCCTGAACTAGGGTTGTGGCTTGGGGGAGAGAAAAGGGGCTTGCTTCCATCTGAGAGTCATTGATTAGATGTAGAGAGTGATAAGGAAGAAATCAAGGATGTCTTCTAGGTGGTGGCTTGGTCGGCAAGCCAAACGATGTAGCCATCCACTAAGGCGTGGGCAGAGGAGCAGACCTGTGGGAGGCAGAAGGCAACCTCAGCTATGAACATGATCTGTAGGTCTACAGATCACCTGGTGAGGGTGCCTGGAGGCAGCTAGAGGTCAGGAGAGAGGCCTGGGCATAAGATATGGACTGGGGAGTCACTGGTGATGAGATGGCACTGGAGGTCCTGGGAAGGGAAGCCCAGAGTACGTGAGAGCAGATGTCTTTGAACTTGTGCTCATGGAGGGGTGTTCATGAACTCCTAGAAGTTATATGCACAACTCTGTGTATGGGTACAGAGGTACATTTTCCTGAGCAAAGGGTAAATCCACAGCTTTCGTTGAATTTTCTGAAAAATCAAGGACTCAAAAAAGTTACTGAGGAGAAGGCCAAGAATAGATCCTTGGGGAACACCAAAGCTAAGGCCCAGGCAGAGAAGAAAGAGACTAAGAAACAGCAGTCAGAAAGGTAGGATGAAATCCAGAACAGTGTGGTTTATTCCAAAAGAGTTACACCATTATTGTTGGAGCTGAAATAAGCTAAATGACAATATGATTTAGGGATAATACAAGGAGAAACCAGTTAGGATAGGGACAGAAAACAGGGAGAGACTTGTGAGAAACAGTATTATTAATATCTGAAATACATTGATAACTCCTACTCTAGTGCTGACACGAGAAATACAAGGAGGTAGAATATCCTGGATTGGACTTTCCCAAAGGGAAACCAAGGCATCTGTGGGTTTAAATGTCTCTTTCATGGGTTGATCATTGTCTAGCACCATATTCTCTTCTTTTCCATTTGCTTCTCAGATAATTGCCAGCCAAAACCACCAAAAAAACCCCAGCCCATGTGGACCCCCGTGAGAAACACAATTTAAAGACATCTTATTCCCAAGTAGTCAAGAACCAGAATTCACCTATGGCTACAGTTCCAGTAGAATGGGAATCCATTTCTGGGATGTGCAGGGTAAATCCCTGGCTATGTGAGAGGAACCCCCTATTGCCCGAGCCGCCTCCCCCCTTGATTCCTCCCCTAAGGTTCTGCCAAGTCAACAAAAAACCTCTACATTAACACTATTTGTAAAGCCAAAGACCAGAATCAACCCAAATGTCCATCAATAAAGGACTGGTTGAATAAACTAATGAAGAGCTATGCAACTGTAGGAAGGAGTTAAGATTATGTCTATACATTGCTGTGGAGTAACCTCCGGGATATTCAGTCAAAACACAAAGTAAAGAAAACAGGTATATCTTTCTACCATTTTCTAGGAAAATGCATCCACTTTCTTATGGATTCATGTGCACATACACATGTTTCCATTTAACAAAATAGAAAGATAAACCATAATTTTTTTAAATGGTCCTATAAGCAGAGTGTAAAAGAGGTAGGGATAGAAGTTAGATTTCTTTGAACATACTGTTTATTTTAAAAATTTGACTCTGGAGCCAGTAAATATTTTACATGGTCATAAAGCAAAATTCACAGGGTAACTGTCACTAAAAAAAAAAAAAAAAAATGAAAAATGAAACAAATGAATCTAATCATGTACTAGTTGGTGGCATAACCACACAGAAAGAAACTATTCCAAGTGACTTGGAAACAAGCAGTTGGACTGTACCTCCTCAGTCAAATATATCTTAAGGACAAAAACAAGTGCAAATATGCATATACATATACATACATATATATATTTCTTTCCAGCAATCATATTAGTGTTGTTAATAGTGGAATTGATATTCTATGTGTGTATCAAATGAGTGGTTATGTGGGTAATGAGAAGCAAAAATTTTGACATGGTTAAAAGAAAATACAGATGTAAGAGTGATAAGGTTAAGTAAAAACCCTATAATTAGTTCTGGCAATGAATTGGAAGTATCAGTGTAAATTCAGTGTATTTTATCTTTAAAACAAGCAAAACCTATTTTCTAGCTCTGTCCATTGAAAATGCTCCCAAACAATGACTAATGCAGTAAAAATTAGCACCCCATCACCCATATTATATCTTCTAAAAACCATTGCCCACTAAAAGGAACCAGGAGTCATTGGAGAAATGGCTGATTCCAGGTCTGGAGCATGAAATGTATAAGTATCGTTACATATTGGAAAGCAAGGAAACAAATACTACTGAGGTAGGGACTTCCCTGGTGGTCCAGCGGTTAAGAATCCGTCTTGCAATGCTGAGAAGGCCTGTTCGATCCCTGGTCGGGGAACTAAGATTCCACATGCCGTGGGGCAACTGAGCCTGCATGCCACAATTACTGAGCCCGCTCTCTCTGGAGCCTCTGTACCTCAACAAAGAGCCTGCGCGCTGCAACAAAAGATCCCGTGTGCAGACCTGACGCAGCCAAAAAATAAATAAATATTAAAAAAACAAATACTACTGAGGTCATGTCAGAAGGACTCAGGATCCAAACTGTGTTCCCACTGGAACAAAAGTGGGAACACTGTCCCAAAGATGGGACAATTTTAACTGTAATGGATTGAAATAAATCAAGTATGTATAAATCCTCGAGTCCATAAAGATACTATTTTCTAAAAACTTTGTCACTTTCGTTAGATGCTAGGGAAACATCCCATCATTTTTTAATTTATTATATTGAAATAATTTTAGTCTTAGAGAAAAGTTGCAAAAATGACACAGAGTTTCTGCGCACACTTTACCGAGCTTCCCCTAAAGTTAACATCTAACGTTACCACAGCACAATCATGAAAAGCAGGGAATCACCATTGCCATTAGCATGACACTATTGACTATCTGCGGGCCTCCCCTCATTTGAATTTCACCAGTTTTTTTTCCCACTTAAGTCCTTTTCCCCAGGATTCAATTCAGGATCCTACATTCCATTTAGTTGTTAGGTATTCTTAGTGCCCTGAATCTGTGACAGTTCCTTGATTTCTTTGTCTTTCATGACTTTGACACTTTCGAAGAGTCCAGGCCAGTGATTTTGTAGAATGTCACTCAGTCTGAGTTTGTCTGATCTTTCTTCCATAAGAGGAGATCTTCTCAGTGCATCTTATCGGGGGCACGGACACCAATGTATCTTATTACTAGTGATGTTACTCTGATCCTATAGTTAAGGTAGTATAGTATCTGTAGTGTAGTTTTTCCACGGTAAAGTTATGGTTTTTCCCTTTGTAACATATTAATAAGTAATCGGGTAGGGGAGATACTTTGAGATCAAGCAAATATTCTGCTTCTCATAATACTTTTGCCCGCTAATTTTAGCATCAATTGATGATCCTTGCTTACAACAACCATACCATGATGTTTGTCTACCGGTGATTTCCCTCTGCCCTCTACATTTATTAATTGTAATCCTGCTCTAAGGAAGAGTTTACCTCTTCCCCATTCATTCATTAATTCATTCACTTATTCAATTTTTAAAATGTTAATATGAATATTTATTTTGTCTTTGGGTTATAATCCAATACTATCATTATTTACTTTGTGGCTCAAATTGTTCCAGATTGGGCCATTAGGAATTCCTTCAAGTTGGCTCCTGTGTCTTTTACCAATTTTTTAGCACCTCCTTACTTTCTAAGTACCACAGGAGGCTCCGGCCTCCTCTTACATTTTCCCAGCTCCAGCTATTTCTCCAAGAATCCCTGGCTCCTTTTACTGGAGAATGGTATTTAGAAACCAATATCTGGGTGCTATGGGTCCTCATTGCTTCTGGGTTGTCATTGCTTCTAGGCCCTTACGACAGAGTTAGGAAATAAATGCACGTGTAGGTGCACATCTATATTTATTTCTGTATTTATCCACATGTGTGTGTACATATAAATAGTTATAGATATATAATATATAAACAAAATATATTATATTTAAAAGCATAAATTCATACTGATACCCCCTATTCCAACCCAGGACCACAGGGTTCAGTCTAGCCTTCCCCCTTTATTTGATTTTTCTTTCTCGGACATTGGGAAACCTGGCTCTCATTATTCACAATATATATCTATTAGTTCAGACCTGCAGACACATCAAGTAGTTTCAGAATGACTAACTCACATGCCTGTGAGAAACAAATTTACTAACTAGCATATAATATGTGTATAGTCATTTCTGTCTCTAGCCTTAAAATATACAGTCAAATACTACTTTCCAAAGTTATCTAGGTTAATTTTTTCCTTCCCTACCCTTCAGTATGGCCATGTTACTATTTATATTATAGTTAAGTTCATTTGTTACTGTTCATATTCCATTTTCGCTTCCCCCACCTCCTGGCTGAATTTCAGTATTTATCTTGAGGGTATGTGAAACAATACCTTGGTTCAAAGAGTCAGAGCTATACAAAAAGGTATTTTCAGAGAAGTGTTACCCCCCATCCCTACTATCCCACCCCCATTTCCCCATTCTTTCTACCCCATTCCCACCTACCCTGTAGATAACCAATCTCTTTAGTTTTCTGCTTATCCTTCCTGTATTTCTTTCACACAAGTAAATAGATATATGTATATTTTCTTATGCCTTTCTTGCAAGAATGGCAGCTTACTGTAGATATCATTTTTACTGTGCTTTTTTATTTAACAATATGTTCTGGAAATCACTGCATATTAATTCATAAATATCTACATTGTGTTGTTGTTGTTTTACAACTGCCTAGTACTTCATCGTGCCATCCTTTATTCAACCATTTTGTGTATAAGCATTTAGGTCATTTCCAATATTTTCCAATTATAAACAGTGTGACTATGAATAACCTTACACATAAGTATTTTCATAGAGTCGTGGGTATATCTTTAGGGTAGATTCCTATAGGTGAGATAGCTGAGTCAAAAGTTAAGTGCACAGTAGCTGTGTTAGGTATTGCTAAATTTCCCTCCAGAAGGGTTGTACCACTTTGTATTCCCACTGACAATATATAATGGTGCCACCTTTCCCACAGCTTCATTAACAGAATGCACTGCCATACTTTTTTGCACTGCCATACTTTTCTTTCCCATTCTTATGGGTAAGAAATGATATCTCAGTTTTGTTTACATTTTAATTTCTTTAATTATGAGTGCATTCAAACTTTTTTTTGCAAATATTTAAAGGTCATTTTTATATCTTTTGTGAACTGTTTTTCATATCTTTTTCACATTTTCTATCAGGTTTATGGTCCCTTGTTCCTCAAATTTTAAGAGTTCTTTATATATTGCCACATTTATCTGTGGTATATGATGCAAATATTTTCTCCCATTTTGTCAGTTGTCTTTTTACTTTATTGTGTTTTTTACTATGCAAATGTTTATGTGGTCAGATTTGTCAACATTTTCTTTTATTCCTTCCGAATTTTGAGTCACAGAAAATCTTTCCTTATATTTAAAGAGAAATTCATCCATGTTTTCTTCTATTACTAGTATGGTTTTATTTTTTATATTTATATTCCCAGTCCACTTGAAGGCTGTTCTTACATATTACATGAGATATGGACCTAATTTTATCTTTTCCCAAATGGTTACCCTGTTGTCCCAGCACTGTTCATGAAAATGTCCACCTTTGATCCAGTAATTTTAGATACAAACTTTATTTTATACTAAATGTCCATATGTAGTTGGGTCAATTTGTGGGTTTTCTATTCCATTCCACTGGTCTTTTTGTCCATACTGTTTTAATTTCAGAGGCATTACAGTATGTTTTAATATCTAGCAGGGCTAGACTCCCTCCATAATTTGTTGTCTTTCAGTGTTTCCTTGGCTATTCTTGCATGTTTGTTTTTCCATATGAACTTTAGTATCAACTTGTCTAGTTCCATTAAAAAGCATGTTGGTGCTTTTATTGGGTTTGAATCAAATTTGTAAATTAACTTAGGAAGAACTGAGATCTTTACAATGTTGAGTCATTCTATCCAAGGTCACACAATGTCTTTTCATTTGTTCAAATCTATTTCTATGTCTTTTCAAAAGCATTTAAAATTTTTCTTTATTTAGGTTTTACATACTTACTGTTAAGTTTATTTCTAAATATTTCTTATTTGTTGCTACTGTAAGTGGAGTTTCTCTACCATAATGTCTTCTAACTGGTTATTATTTGTGCATATGAAAGCTATTAATTTTTGTATGGTAATTTTATATCCTGCTACCTTTACTGTTTGAGTTAGCTTTACTATTCATTCTCTAGACTTGCCCAGATATACTATTAAAGTTATGAAATAGAGAAAAACTTTCTACTTTGTTGCCATTCTTATACTTATTGTTTTCTCTTGTCTAATTGCATTAGCTAATATCTCTAGAAAAATTATGAATAATAATAGAGATAGTGGGCATCCTTACCTGGTTCCTGATCTTAGCAGAAATGCCTCTACTATTTCTCCATTAAATAAGACAATGGCTTTAGTTCTAAGGTATAAAAAGTTTATCATGTTAAGAAAATATCCCACAATTTCTATTTTCTTGAGGGTTTGATCATGAATACGTGTTGAATCCACCCCTTATTTTGAAAACTGAAAAATAAAGGGAAAGAATCTAGTACTTATCCTGCCTTTTCTATATAATCTATACATGAAGGCAACCAAATATGAGGTTGGAAAAGTTTCTCTTTATAGAATTATTCCAGCTAATAAACAAAGAAGAAATTATGGAATAAGAACATCACTATTTGCGACCACTAATGAAATAGTCAGTGTAGCCAAAGATGCTGCCGTCATGAAAAGAGAGACACCAGGTATTACATACCTCCTGATGAAAGTATACCTCACTATTTATGAAGTAGTCTTGCTATTTATATATTTTAGAGACAGAGAAAGAAAGAGACAGAGAAAAAGAAAGAGAACCTGGATGTGATCAAGCCTCTAGCTCTAAGCACCAATGTACAAGAAATACAAGAGACAGAGGAAGATGTCAAACACCACCACAGGGATGCAGTTAGTAAAATACAGTCATGGGAAACTCTATTGAACAAATAAATTGATTTCTTCAACCAAAAACATCAAGGGAGGGCTTCCCTAGTGGCGCAGTGGTTGAGAGTCCGCCTGCCGATGCAGGGGACACGGGTTCGTGCCCTGGTCCAGGAAGATCCCACATGCCGCGGAGCGGCTGGGCCCGTGAGCCATGGCCGCTAAGCCTGCGCGTCCAGAGCCTGCGCTCCACAATGGGAGAGACCACAACAGTGAGAGGCCCGCGTAACGCAAAAAAAAGTCAAGGGAAAAAAAGATCAAAATAGAAGGAAACGCTATATATTAAGAAACTTTAAAGACATATCAACTAATTGCAATGTATGAGTCTTATTTGAATCCCAATTCAAATAAATTGTAAATAAAAACGTTTTAAAACAATTTATGATTATTAACACAATGTTTAAGACAATTGAGGCAATAGGAATGTTGACTGGATGTTTCATTATATTAAGGAATCATTGATTTTTAAAAATATTATTGTTAATATTTTGGTTATTTTTGTTAATAAGTAAGTCCTTATCTCTTTTTTTAACTTGAAAATAAATATATTCACAATCTGTAAAACATAAATCCTTATTTTTTTAGACACATATGGTATTTACAGGTGAAATGATATTATGACTAGGACTATAATATCGTGGAGAAAGAGGTGGCGATATTTACAGAACAGGATTGGACATGTATTGATCATTGTTGAAGCTAGTGATGGGGGTACATCAGTTTCACTATTTTCTCTATCTTTGTATATATTTGAAATTGTCCATAACAAAATGTGGGTTTTTAAAATTCTGCATCTATTATACTTAACATTTAGACCAAGTGAGATGACACACTCCAGAATGTGGTGTAAAGAGCCAAGCACATCCCAACCGTAAGCAGTGGGCACCATTGTCTATCAATGAACCCTTGAGGGCTAACGGCCAGCAAGGCAGCCTCTGGCCATCACTTCCTGCACCTCTCTCCACAGGCACGAAGAGTACCCAAGGTCCCTGTAGCACAAGGGTCCCAAGGGTCCTCGGGGCAAAAGTCAAGAAGGAGGTCCTGATGGATATTTTCCCCAGGAGTCCAGTGATGAGAATCCTGCCTTCCTCTCCAATCCTCGAAGGACTCCCAGCTCCTTGTATTTCTCCCTCCCATGCGGGAAGCCCCACACTCACATCATTCTCCGAGGTCCCACAGAGGATGCAGGATTTGCACTCTATGCACTGCCACTTGTAGGTCTTGACAGCCTCGGTCATGTTCAGGGTGAACTGCAGGCAGGTGGGGTGACCTGGAGGAAGCAGAAATGGCAGCATTAGGGCCAGAGGGTCTGACCTGTCACCCCTCAATGCCACAACATCATGGCCAACTTGGAGGGAGGGTGGGGTAGCACGGGTTGTGGAGTAAAGTGGGAGCCTGGCTGGAGCCCTACCCACCATCCTCACCACCACCCACAGTTACATCAGATCAACGCCCAAAGAGAGAAATAGGTATTAAGCCTTTTGCTGAGGAGAGATGTCATCCAAGTCCTCTTGCCCTAAGAGCCATGTTCCCCCAGAGATGTAACCAGTTGATGAGGACAGAAAGTGGTGATCAGAGAGAAAGAGAAAGGAAATCGCACAGCACAAGGCGACACCGTGAGAGTCAGCAGCATTATCTCCCCGGCAGCAACTGTGGTGGGAGGTAACACATATGGGCTATTTGCAGCTGAGCCTTCTGACCTGCAAAGCTGTGCACACTGCCTTAGGGCACCGGGGAGGAGATCAGGGGGAACATGTGAGGCTCCCGGGAACAGAGCTCGGGGGGCACTGGGAGGCACTACACTGCTACCTAAGGTGTCCATGCCCATGCCCAGGGGACAAGCAGAAGTCCACGCCCTGCACAGTAACAGGCCCTATGGAGGGAAGCAGCCTGGCAGGGAGGGCGAAGAAGTGGAGCACCACTGCAAGGGAGCACAACAGCCAGGTCTATCCTGAAAGGACTCGTCACTGGCTCTAACTCTTCTCTCCATCCTATGTATCACGTTAGCCAAGCCAATAATAAGAGCAAGGAGGGACATTAATGTGATCTTAGAGGACCCAGCCCCAGCAGACCTACACTGGAGCTGGGCTCTGCTCTTAGCCACCGCCCACCCAAAAGAGAGACACCAGCAGCAGGAGGACAACTGTGAGCCACAGAATGTGAAGACCTTGACCTCCTATTTGGCAGGGAAGGGAAACTTGGATGATGACCCCCGGTTTCCCAGGGCTGTAAATCAGACAGGGATCTGCCCAGACACCCCGGGCAAAGCCCTTTACTGACTCTGTCACAAAAGAATTGATAGTTTTGCCTATTGCTAGGGGTTCACCCTTCTCCCAATTCTGCCAAATCCACCATATAGTGCATGTGTCGCCTCTTTCACGTGAGGGATTATGAGCTTCTAAAGAAGGATAGTATAGATGGGGCACCAATTAGGGGCAACCAACACAGTGTCCAACCCAGTGTCCCTCACAGACAGTCAAGATCCCATGAGGTACCACCACTCCTTGGCAAAGCCACATCCCAGCATGAGGCCCCCATTTCTTCTTTTCCAAACCCTCACAGAGTTCTATCACGGTCCTTTGGGGGAAATACTGTCTATCCAGTCACTATAAGGACCCTTCAGATCTGGGCCGCCACCAACGCAAACCACACTGAGTTATCTCTGAGAGTGGGGACAGAATGACTCATGGTGAGGGGAGTTGGGGACACCTAGCAAATAGCAGGTGGGAGCATTGAGGAGAGGACTGATCTAAAAGCATTTCTAGGACTTCTCAGGAGCCATGCAACTTAGACCCTCACAGCTCTGAATAACCCTCTCAAAGTGACACCATGCCAGTGACCCTGGGGAGAGCAAAGCCTTACGTTAAAAGCCTGGATGAACATCCAGCTGATATTCCTGACAGCATCTCAAAGATCTGTCTAAGAAGAACACTAGCCAGGGTTGTTCCCTATTCTGATCTCTCACACAGAACACTGGGATGGGAATAGGAGAGAAAATACCAGTTTGAGATTCCGGGTGGTCTGGGCCATAGATGCCCAGGTTCTCAGATAGGACATCTGGTAAGGTTGAAGATGAATTCAGGGAGTATATACCTAGAACAGCAGGTTGATGTTGCCCTGTTCCGCGGCCTTAGAGCACACCCAGCCACAACCAGCCAGCTTACAGTAATTGTTCATGAACTAGGGTTTATTGAACATCTGCTAGGCCAGCCATGGCGCTAGACAGAAAAGATACAGTGGTGGGCAAGACCCTCACCCCCAAATCCTTCTAGTCTGGTCAGAGAGAACTCAAATTAATAAACTACATGCATACCTATTTACCTATAATTGTGTAAGTACTGTAAAGAAAAAACATAATTGGCAATGAAAAAATCACAGGAGAATCAAATCTAGTCTGAGATGTCAAGGAAACCTTCCCTGAGAAAGATCTTTAAGCTGATACCTGGCAGATGAGGGGGAGTTAGCTGAGTGGGCGAGGGAGAGGATTCCACGTGAGGAGAACAGCACGTGGAGAGGCTCTGAGCAGTGGAGGAGCTTGGCAAATTCAACAGAAGGGAAAGGCCAGTAGGCAGAGGCTTGCCGAACAAAAGGAGGAGGGCAAGAAGTGCCCAGAGAGGTAGCTACAGCCAAGTTACATGGGCACTTGTGGCCCTCATTTAAGGATCTGGGGCTTTAAAATCATTAAAACATTTTAAGCAAGGCAGTGACTGAATTGCCTTGTGTTTTTAAAGGAGCATTCCTTCAGCACGAGGGATCTTTGGGTGGTGAAGCAGTTCTGAACCTTGATTGCAGTGAGTTACGTACTGATAAGATTGCATAGAAGTATACACATACATGCATAAACACACATGTGTGTGAATGTAAAACCAATAACATATGGATAAGATCTGTGATTGCATCGTGTCAGTTGCCTGGTTCCGATAGTGTACTATGGTTACGGAAGATGTTACATTGGGGGAAACTGGGTGAAGAGTGCATGGCACCTCTCAGTAATATATTTTGTAACTTTCTATGAAGCTATAATTATTTCAATATAAAAAGTTGAAAAGGTCTTTTTAAATAAGGAAAACACAAAGAAAAATTTAAGTCATCAAAAAGGAGGGAAGGAAAGGGAGGAAGGGAGGGAGGGAAGAAGGGAAAGGAAAGGAAAGGAAAGGAAAGGAAAGGAAAGGAAGGAAGGAAGGAAGGAAGGAGCTGCTGTCTAAGGAAAGAACTGGGGGGAGGGGGGCAGAGGGAATGTAGAGATGTAAGAATTGTTGCCAGGAAACTAGTTTGGAGGTGGGTGCTGCTGTTAGGAGAGAGACAAGGATGGTGGAGGTGGAGCTTGGAGAAATATTAAAGAAATCATTGACAGGACTTGACCATTATTTGAGCATTGGGAGTGTGGGAAAGAGATGATGAGAAATAGTCTCAAGATTCCGACCTAAGAAACAAGGTGGGTTGCAGTGAAACTTACTCAAATGAGGAACTACAGAAAGCATATAGGGACCAAATGGGGGAGGGGGAGGAGAACTCTGTTTTGAGCATATTGAATTTGGGAAGTCTGTGAGACTTTGGGTGGAAATGTCAAGTGGATGGTCGAATATAGGGGTTTAGAGCTCAAAAGAAATATGAACTAGACATAAATTTAGGAGCTTTTGCTAAATAGGTGGTCATAGAAACCATGAGAGTTAATGAAATTATCTAGGAAAAGGGAAAAAAGAGAAAGGAAGAGGAAAGAAGAGAGAAAAAAGTCTAGGACTGAGCTTTGAGTAACTCAACTATTTGAAGATCAAAAGAAAGGACCAACAGAGGAAACTGGAAGGATGGCTGGAGAGAGGTAAGACGCAAACCGTGCAAGTATGGGTCACAGTGGCCCAGAGAAGAGCTTTCAAGAAGGAGAGGGTGGTCAGCGGTGTTGACTGCCAAAGGTTCTTGAGTTTGTCATTGCTCGATAAGGACCCTGAATGAGGGCCTGCTGAAAGAGTTGAGCAGAAGTTGCCCTACTAATAATAATACCCTCAGCAGTGTCACCTTCCCCGGGAAGGAAGGTCAGCACATTCCAGAGCATGACATGTAACCCCACAGCTGGCCTCTGGATGCCTCCGGGGGTGAGGGTGGGGGGGTGCGTGCTTCATGAAGCCAACAACACTCCCCAAATATTTACTGAGAGCCAACTCTCTTTTCAAGACCTCTCAACCACTGTGCTGAGCGCTGAAGACATTTTCTGGGATAGCTTTGGACCAGTGAACAGTAGCAAGTGGGCTTGAGAAAATCCTGTTGGAAGTGTCTCAAAAAATCCCATGGGCTTTCTCTGTGTTCCAGTTTTGAGAAAGTCACCAGTCTCCCCCCAAAGACCTTCACACCCAAAGGAAGGGAACGAAGCTCACACAGCCTCCACCCCAGGTAAAATGTAGGACTAAGATTAGCCTCAGCTCTGGCTACAGAGCTCCTTCAGTTCAGAATTCAGACTCAAGTGGGAGAGGAAAGGAGGGGATGCAACTTCTCAGCTGCGGAGGGTGAGACACAAAGAGTTAAGTCACCCAAGCTGCCATTAGCAGGTGCAAAAACTATGCCCAGAACTAAGTCCTCCTTTCTGTGCCACCAGAACAGGTTGCCTGTCTGCTGCCTTTCTCTACAAACTGGAAAAGTCATTTCCCAGATAAAACTATAGGGATAAGACTTCTTATCTACCATGGAAATGACTGGAATAAAGCATACTGTTGGACAAAAGGAAAAGTTGCTAAGGAAAGTGCTAGAAGCCCATATCTAAGTTTTACTGCTAGAAGTCCTTATTTTTGCCCAGAACTAATTTCTAAAATCCTTGGAAGTAAGTGGATAATAGTCTTTCCAATTCAAGGGTGGTAGAAAATAAAGAGGCACATTGGCAGTAAAGCAATTTACTTATGGCCACCCAATACTTAAAGATTCCTGTCTTAATCTGTTTTGTAAAATTAACCATCATTCTCTAGCATGCTTGCTTGGAAATCTAGATTTTCCATATATCCAGTTTTCTTAAAGCGAGGAATACCTGCATTGCTATTTAAATAGCCCAATGGAGTGAAGGGGAAACAACACTTCCCAGGTCCCCTGGGTGAGATGATTCAACAGGACATTTATAAGATTTCAATTACCAAAATGGATTTAGAAAGTGGCATGGTGTGCATGATTCATCCCAGCCAGATCATTAAAAACCAAGTCCTTCCTGAGTGTTCCTCCAAATTTGTTCTATTAGGAGGGTTCAATAAATCTTCTGCCCGTTTGTTCAGTTGGTCCAGTGGTGAACTTGGT